AGTTTGTTCGACTTCGACCTATATACAATAAAAAATTATAACTTCGCATTTTAAGAAATGTCTCAATCATATACGATAAGTCAAACTATTTTGTTAGTTAAGTATAAAGCATCTTTTAATTATGGGGATATTTAGAAATATACAATGTATATATAAAAATAACCTCGTACTATTTTAATCTTGAAACAATTTAGCCCAACCTACCTAAAAATAGGGTGTTTATAATCTCACACGATTTTAATCTTGAAACTAAGTTAGCCTAACCTACTCCTACAACTTTATTGCGTACTAAGTTATCCCCAACCTACTCCTACAACTCTATTACCTACAAATTAGCCAATTCGCATGGTAGAGCTACAAGGAAAGTTCTAATTAAGCTTGGTTAGGTTCTAATTAAGTTCTAATTAGCCAACTCACATGGTATTGTTGGTTAGGTTGATTTCGTTGTATGAAACAGACTATTGATCAATTAAGAACTTTCATATTTAAAAGATGGGGGTGAAGAAAATGAGAATATTGAGGTGGATGTAAGGAAATACTAGGAGAGATAAGATTTTTAAGAATGAAGATACCTTAGCCAAGGAGGGAGTGACCTCTATGGTGGACAAAATGAAAAAAGTCATCTTGAGATGATTCAAACATGTGAGAAAAGGTGTGCAAAACCCCAATGAGGAGGTAGACTAATTAAGAAGTGTCGGGGAGAGCTAATTAGACACAATTTCAACGAACATAACCAAATAAGAGATTATAGTGATTATGAATTACGATAAAAGGTTAGTAGATTGTCGAACATTATCTTATTTTTAGGTGGGATAAATTTGGTGGGGTAGCGTAGTGCGCTATACTTGGTTCAGGCTCATACTAGTAGTAGCAACATTTTATCTTGTAGTTGCATGTTTTACAAAAAAAAATTGTTACTCCTCATTATTTAATATCCTTCAGTTATCACATTATTGGGTCATTGTTATTTCTCATGTTTTCTAAATGTTATGTTATGCTTTACTTATTATTTGTTGTGTTTTCTTTACTTGATCAATATTTTTCTTTTAACTATTTTATGGCGTTACTCGAGTTAAGGATTTTTTTATAACAAACCTCTCTATCTCCATTGAAATAGGAATAAAGTATGTGTACACTCTACCCTTGCTTATAGGACTACAATATTGAGTTTATACATTGCAAGGAAGTCAATGACCATCCACCTTACTCAAATATCTTTCTCCCTCCGTTCAACAATAGTTGTCCACTATACTAAAAATAGATGTCCAACAATACTTGTCTAGTTTAGAAAATCAAGAGATAGTTTACCTTTTGTGTCTATTTTACCCTTGGTATTAAATATTATTTATCATCTAACACATTTTTTAAAACATTAAATTTAATAAAATCAAAGGACAATATAGTAATATACCCTTATTATTTATTACTCCCTCTGTCCTAATTATATGACTTACTTTCCTTTTTAGTCGGTCCAAAAAAGAATGACACATTTCTATATTAAGTAACAATTTAACTTTAAATGTATGTGTTTAACTTTAATGAAATGACTTATAGCCACACAAATTTCTATCATTTATTTTAGACCACGAGTTTTAAAAGTCTTCCTATCTTTCTTAAACTCCGTGCTGAGTCAAACTACCTCACATAAAATGAGACGAAAGAAGTATTTCTTAAGGGGTGTAATAAGTCAATAATGGACAATTATTATTGAACTGAGGGAATAATTAATTTTAGGGACCTACTCCTCCAACTGAGGAACCTCCAGTTGAACATAAGTATGAGGAAGATAATCAAGTGGTAGACGTACTAGCTAAAGAGGGGTCTAGGATGATGCAAACTAAGACCATCTCCAATCCATCTCTATTTTACTCTCTATTCTCTATATTTAGAGAGTAAAATAGAGAACGGGCTCTTCAACCCCCCTCCATATTACTCTATCATCTATTTATAGAGAGGTGAATAGTAGTTCTCCAAATTTGGAGAACTACTATTCACCTCTCTATTTCACTTTTTGATTATTTTAACATTATTTCTATTGACTCATTAATTAAGTCTTTATTATTTTTAATTACTTTTCTAATATAATATAACATCTAAAAACATATTATTGACAAGTTACTATTTCTATCCGGATTAATAATTTTCTATTTTATTTTTTTAAAATCATCACTTTAACTATGTAATTTCAAATTATTTTAATATTATTTATATTATATGAGGCTATTAATTAAGTCTTTAATAGTTGAATTATTTTCTAAGTAATATAACATCTAAAAAAACATATTATTGATAAGTATACTATTTTCATCTCGAATTAACAATTTTTCTAAATAAAATCGTCACTTTAAATATTTAATTTAAAATTATAATTATTTTTCACTATGAAGAATATACAAAATTTACATGATAATTCAAACAATCTACTTTTATATTATAGTGATAAATTATTAAACTACACTTTTAATGAGTATGAAAATACTTTTTGCAATAGTTCAAAATGGAATTGGGGAAGTAAATTAGTGCATGAAATAATTGGATAGAAGATGAAATTGTTGATTTAAACAATTTTTAGCTACACATAAAAAATATGGACAAAAAATTACTCATTTTGAATTCTGTAATGCATTAATAGAGCATTATGGGAGCAACGTAATAGTTTTGAAAGTCGAGTATTTATGTAGAATTTAAAATTAAATTTTACGATAATGCATTATTTATTAGGTTCATCAATAATTTCACTTTATTTGAATTGTTTGTTAATGTATTATATATGATATTTGTTGTAATTTATTTTATTTAGAATTTTAGAATAAAATATAATTTTATATTTAATGAAAATTTTGAAAAGAATAAAATATATTATTCAAGATTATATAGATTATAGGGCAATTATTTGTAAAAAGAAAAAATAATTTATATTATGAAATAAGAAAATAAAAATGAAAAAGAAATAATAATATAATATTGAAGAGAGAAAAATATTCATTTTTAGAGAGTAAAATAGAGAATTAGGTTGGAGTTAATTGAAGAGAACTCTATATTTGGAAAGTAAAATAGAGGGTAGGATTGGAGATGCCCTAACCATTTTGTGTGTTGGACAGTTCCTTCTTTGTTTATGTTCAGAAAATTAAAAGTAGATAAAGTGGAAACGTTTTTTGTTAGGCTAAAAAGGGTCAGGTTTTACTACTAATTGATGTGATGTTTATTATGTAATAACACCTCACCCCCAAACACTACTAGCGGAAGTAAAGTTCTGCCAGAATTTTGTTTTTACAGAAATCAAACGAATTCGATCGGTTTTTTTTGCAAAAAAATAAGCTTGAAGAATATAAAAACAAAAAATGAATCTTAAACCAACAAGCATTAATCGTCTAGTGGTAAAAACATATCATACGAAGGTAATTAAAGACAAGGATTGATCCCGAATGATGCATTTTATAACTATATAATAAAAATTGACCGATTTTTTTTAAACTAAATATATGTGGTCAGTAAAAACCGACCACTGTTGGTCGATTTTCGATATCGGCCGTACCTAAATCATCGGTTTTTTTAGGTATTCAGAAAAAACGATCAACATTGATCGACTATGGTGGTCAGTTTTCACTTTTTTTAGTAATGGTTACATAGGACAACGACACAATCATAGTAAATCGGTTGTTACATAAGTGACACTTTCATCATTACATAACAAGAAATTTAATAATATGATACAATAAAATTTGAGTAAAAACAAAATTGTACTCAAAGTAACAATATGATCGATATAATACAACGAGGAACAATCATCCAAACAAGTTGTAGGGACAATTTCATACAATATGAAAAGATAATTCTTTCTGATCCACAACGGAGATTTTTATTGAAAAGGGAAAATGCTCAAATATGCCATCGAACTTTTAGAAAAAACTCATCTATCTATTATAAGTTTGGTTCACTTATGCCATTTTCGTTTGAGAAAAGGCTCATCCATGGCATTATTTGTTAATTGAAATGACATAGATAAGCCAATTTTTTTTATGGAAGGTATAGATGAGTTCTTTCTCAAAATTTAATGGCATATTTTTGCCTTTTCCCTTTAAAAAATAATTGAATTAATGACGTGGTCAAGTCATAATTGATCACGTGTAAAAAATGATTTGCAAAACCCAAAAGTATTTTTAGTTTACAAATAATGAATTTAACAATGACGATTTTATATATTATACATATTTAATGAATTTTCAACACAAATACAGTGTTTGAGCAAAATTCAGCAAACTACTACCTCCACCCTGTTAATTTATGTTGTTATATCATATATAGTGCTATAAATATATCTCAAACTCAATATATTATTTTCACTTGATATTCAATCAATAATCATGGACCATCATCTTCCTTATGGTTTGATCATATTCTTCCTTCCAATAATAATCTTTCTATTCTCTATATATTATGAAAATAAGTCTTCTTCAAAATTGGGACTTCTAAAATCTTATCCACTAATTGGTTGCACATGATTTTCATTGGTTAAAAACCGCAAACGTCTTGTCCAATGGACTGCACAATTGTTACAAAATTCACCTTCTTCAACCATCACACTTACTGGTCCCTTTGGTAAAAAATGTGTCTGGACAACAAACCCTAGTAATGTCAAGCACATCCTCAAAACCCGATTCGACTTGTACGAAAAATCCACCACCGTACGCTCTTCGTTACACGATCTTTTGGGGGCTGGAATCTTTGTTGTCGATGGGACAGAGTGGAAGTCCCATCGACAACTCATAAGTCCTATCTTCAAATAGGATACGTTCCATCATATAGTCGAGTGTATCACTATGAAAGAGATTTCTTCTCGTCTTCTTCCTCTCTTCGCGGATGCATCTACTATTAGTACTACTACTATCCTTGACCTTCCCGATATTTTTCGTAGGTTCACTTTTGACATTGTGTTTAAGGAAGGCTTGGTCATGATCCACAATACTTGTCACCATCTCTACCGAAGACTCTCTTAGCTGATGCTTTTAATACCGCGATCAAGATATGTATGGGAAGGTACGCGAGCTAAGAAATTTGCCCGTATTGGATCCGAGAAGAATCTTAGTCTTGCTCAAGAATTTATCAAAAACAGAATTGCGCGATTAAAGGAAGGGGAATGTGATGATCATGTTGATTTCGTGCACTTCCTAGCTTCAAAAGGTCGTAGTCAAAACAAGTTAGTATGTATGTGATGAGAAATATTACGTAGATTCGATTATTAATTCATATAATTAGCTGCGGAAGACACTTTATGCTCTGCTTTAATATGGTTCTTTTGGTTAATATCTAGTAATCCGGAAGTTGAGAAGGAAGTTGTAAGTGATATTAAAGCGAATAATAATAATAACAATTGGAAGAAAATGACGTATCTACATGCTTCCATTTGCAAAAGCATGAGACTATCAACAGATATATGGCCAGACGGGACAAAGGTGAATAAAGGAACAGAAGTGATTATACATATATTCGCGATGGGGAGATCACAAGAACTATGGGGTGAAAATTGGGCGGAATTCAAACCAGAGAGATGGTTACGAAAAGATTGGGTATTTATCCCGAGGGATCCTTTCAATTACCCGGTGTTTCAAGCCGGACCGAGGACTTGTCTTGGAATAGACATTGCTTTTATGCAAATAAAATTGGTAGCTGCTAATGTGCTAAGCCAATTTCAGCTTGTTCCAGCAGTGGACGGTTATAGTCCTGTTTATAGTTCGACTTTGACATCAAAGATGAAAAATGGATTTCCAGTTAGAGTAATTCAACGTGTCTAGCTAATTAGTTTTACCTATATAGTCGATTTACTCTCTCTGTCTCAATTTTTGTGGGGACCTTTTTCTTAGTCTCTACAAAAAATAATGTCACTTTCTGTGATTAAAAATAATTGTGAATGTATGGTATTCACCCTTTTGAGCACATGACAAGATGTTACATTGTCATTGAGCCCAAATATATATATATATATATATAGAGAGAGAAATAGTCCACAAATTTTAATTAAATGATTCCAATTCAAAGCCGAAGTCAAGTTGAGCGATGATGGTGACGGCACTAGGGGAGACTTTCTTCTCAACTCTTTATGAGCTAGAAAAAGTGTTGGAATTCTTACGGAAAATACGTCACCACAAACACTTATAGGAAATTCACCAAAGCTTGAAACGAGTCAGACACTGTCCTTAAGGATCGGAATTCAACAAGCTCTTCTAGTATAAAACTAGGAGCTAGAATCTAACAAAAAATATTGGAGGAAGAATATTTGTATTCATCAATTTTTTCTCTACCTTTAGTGAAGAAGCACATACAGTGATAATATATATGCAAGAAAGATCTCTTGAAATAGTTAGATTTTAAGTTGCAATAGTGAAGTCCAATTAAGAGTAATTAATAGGAGCATTAAGAGGCCAAAGAAACTGTCTTCTCATTAGTTTATATATTTGTACCATCACCTATATATAAAAGGAGAGGAAAAGTGTCACATGTCAGCACCATAAAAAGTTAACAATTATAAAATTTTAAAAAATAATTTAAAAATAATTTTAAAACAATTATAAAAAATTTTAAAATAATTACAAAATTATAATTATTTATTTATTTTGTTTTTAAGAAACTAATGGTATTTTACAGCACAAGTTCTTAATATATTTTATTTTAGAAATGATTTTAAGTAATTATTACAATCAATTGAAAATTTTCTCAATTATTTAATTTTTTAAAAAACGGATTTAAAAAATTAAAAAATAAATTACAAATCAGTTTAATTACACATTAATTAACTCCACTATTATTTAAAAATAGAAAGAAAGAAAAAACTGTCAATCCAAAAAAAAAAAAAAAGAGAAACCCACGTCCTTGAAAAAAACACATATGATCAATTACCTAAATAAATAATTTAAAATTTAAAATTCAAATTTCAAAAAATAACTAACCTTATCCTTAAAATCATCTAAACCTTATAAGGCATGTCTTTGAAAAAATACTACTCTTAACTTCATCATTCATATCTTCTTAAAATCAACTCTTCAAAATATGATTCCAAACATGTTTTAAGAAAAAATGGTATCCAAACAAAACTAGGATTCACACAAATCATAAAAGAAAGAATAGTTATATTGATGACTATTTTGAGTTGTTTTTTGTTTGTAATTATTTTTTATGATTGAAGGGATCACCACTCTCCAATGCGAGGAATAAAAAGAAGACACGGATAATAGAAAAATGGATGAATTGTCAAGAATTTCATGTCAGTGGATCATGTATGTCATCTTTTAATATCTTAAGTACATAAATTACATGAATTACTACTATGATGATGATGATAATTGTTTAGGATTAAACTTATTGTATAAATACTATTTAATTTTTTTTGGCATGAATTATTCAATATTGGTTTCGTTTTCTTTGATGACTTCAATGGGTTTTTTACTTTAAGAAATAATAACAATGTGTAAGTATAATGATGAGGATAATGAAAGACTTAAGATGATCTTAAAATGAAAGATATTGTCATTTCTTAATATTTGTTTGTGCAAAATCAAAATATCACTTAATGTTTAGGGTGTTTGACTTTTGAAGAACAATAATTGGTTGTGGTTTTATTTTAATCTAAAGATGATTATAGTATAAACTGTCGTACTTATTATGTTGCTTTTATCTTTATGTTTGTATATGTAACTTTAATTTAATCATATTTTTTAAGATTTTCGTTGTAAAAATCATTAGAGTAGCTTCATTTTTGTATTGATTGTTGTGATATGAATTGTCCTTATTATGCTGGTTTATTTATAGTATAAATACTTAGGTATATAAATAGATTAAAATAGTTTACATTGTTAATTTTATGTTATCCCTTTATATGTTTTTACTATATATGTTATTGTCTTTAATTTATCTATTTTTTAAAAATTTGCATGACTTTATAACTTCATTTTTTGTGTTACTCTTTTTCATAAATCTAACAGAAACTGATTGAGAAGATATTTCAAGAACAAGTAAAAAGGTTTAAGTCAACTTTTTAAATTCATAATTGTTGTTATATTTATAATTTTTTATTATTATTATATATTATATTATTATATTTATTATTATTATTATTATTATTATTATTATTTATTATTATTATTATTATTATTATTATTACTATTATTATTATTATTGTTATTGTTATTGTTATTGTTATTGTTATTGTTATTATTATTATTATTATTATTATTATTATTATTATTATTATTATTATTATTATTATTATTATTATTATTATTATTGAGAGAAAATTTAAAACATTATAATTTTGAATTTGATTTTACAACTTTAAATTGAGATAGAGTAATTAGTTTGATGTTTGAAAAAATAAAAATAAAACTTAGACTAAAACCTAATTTATTTGTTTCAGTTAAAAAATCATAAAATATTAATTTAATGTGTTCAGTTAAATAATTTAATGATTCATATTATCATTTTACAAATATTACTAATTGCATAATAAATTTTATTAGTTATTTTAAATTTATATGTTATTATTTTTAAAAATATTCGTGCAACGTGCGGGCATATTTTCTAGAATTGTCGTTTAATTAAAATGAATTCAATAATAAAAAAAATATTTATCTATAGAAATATATTATAAAGGAGTAATAGGTAAAGAGGGATCAAATCAAATGACATATGATAAGTAAGGAACAAAAAGAAAAAAATATTGAAATAATTGACATATCGTAACATAATGTAGAATGAAAATAAATTAAATTTAGATTCTAATTTTATTCATACCAACTTATACTAGACACAAAAGATAAATTGAATTTGAAGAATAGAAGGCATAATATTTTTAATAATATTTTTAAATTTTATTTTTTAGAAAAGGTATACTACCATACAAGAATAGTTTTTTATTTATATTTTTGTTTTATAATATAATGTTACATTATTTTATTTATTATTTCTCATTTCAAAAAGATAGCACCTCTAACAAAAACTTTTGTATACTTTATTGGTCATAATTACATCAAAATAATTAAATCCATTTTAGATATTAATACATACATAAATTGAATATTAACTAAAAATGATTTTATTTTCAAAATTTTCTAATAAATAAAACAACATTATTCCCTTAAAAACGGATCATTAAAATAGCAAAGTGGTTAGAATTTCACTTTGAATCAAATTTGTACATAGGGTAAATTCTATATTTTATATAAATCTTGATTGTTTATTGCAATATACATTTAAAAAAAAATGTTAGCCAAATTTGACTATATAATAGTAAGTAGTAGTGAAAATGTAATCAAGAAAAACAGAAACATCCAGAAATTATTTGTTGAATATTTGATATCTATTTTATTTTGAAAAATGAAATATTTTTTTAAAATTATCTAGTTCTAATCTTCAATCTATATATAACTTCAATTTATATATAACAAGAGAATTAAAAAGTATCACATGTCAGCACCATAAAAAATTTCAATTATTTAATTTTAAAAATTCAAATTTTAAAAAGTCAAAAATTAAAAAAATAAATTACAAAATAGTTAAATTTTAAAAAGTCAAAAAAAAACTAAGTGTTTTATTAACATAATCTTTTTAAAGATAGTTACCACAATTAATATAACTCTTTTTTATTTTTTAAAAGATAATTGATTGTACATGTGGTAAAAGTTTATGTTATTTTGGACTCTTATTCTTATCATAATAATTAGAATACTTATCTTTATTGATTGACATCTATTTAATTATTTTAAAAATAATTAAGAAGCACATGAAAAATACACATAAAAAAATCAACAAAAACTACACATTAATATGACTCAACTACGTACAACTTTCTCATTCAATATCAAACATTTAGAGTATTATTTAAATAAATTTAAATTATAGAATAAAAATTGCAAACACTAAAATATTACTTTAACTTTTTACCATTTTTTAAAATTCAATTTTTGATAATAGTTAACTACATTATTCTCTTCCTAAAAAATGCTCCAAAATCTTAATTGTTTATTGCAATATACAATTAAAAATATGTTAGCCAAATTTGACTAATATACTCTAAAAATAAAATTGAATTATGAAATACTTTTTTAAAAAATAATTCAGATCTAATATATTCTAAAAATAAAATAATTCACGATGATTGAAGGAGTATGTTTAACTAAGAGTCTGCTTGGTGTATGATTATTCAAATTAAAATATAATTTTTATATTTGATTTGAAAAATAAATAAATACATATCTAAAAAGCAAAAATAAAGAGACAAAATAAAATAAAATATAAAATCAACTAAAACTAAATTAATTTTAAAATATTAATTTATGAAAGTATCACTCAACTGTAAGAATTATATTGTACATTTGTACTAAACAATAGCATATAATTACATATATATTTTTAAATAACACATAATTGATATATGACTTTAAGAAAAATTAAAAGACAAAATATAAAATTGTGAATGACATGCCTACATTTTGATATTCTGGTGACTAAAACTCTTTTTGTATGCTTAGCATTATGATAGGACTTTTTTTAGTTATGATTTATTTAAATCTAACTATTAAATTTTCTTATATTTTTATTATTTTAACAAGAGGATAATATACATTTTAAATAAATTAAATAATGATAAAAGACTATTATTGTCAAATTTAGATAATGAACTAAGCTTATATATTGATTTATTTACATAAATATTCTATTATAACACATCAAGATGCTGAATATTTTAAAATAAATTTTATAATATTATCTTATAATAAGTTAAAATTTTAAATTGTTAATA